ATCATAGAGATGGATCTCACAATCTTGGACACTTCCACTTGTAGATTTGACATGTTCTGAGGCTTGGAATACTCTGTATCCTCCAAAATGTTCATTTTCCACTTTTATGGAGCCTGTCATCCTCGGAATCTAGGTAATTTCTAGTTACAAAAGTAGTTTAAAGCACTCGATGGGCTAGAAATCTGAAGGTTCAAGGTAATAAGGCCATGTGAGCACTATCAGCGCTCTGGGGGAATTTTTTCCTCTCACTTTTCACTTTCCATGGGGAAAGCATCATCATAGAGATGGATCTCACAATCTTGGACACTTCCACTTGTAGATTTGACATGTTCTGAGGCTTGGAATACTCTGTATCCTCCAAAATGTTCATTTTCCACTTTTATGGAGCCTGTCATCCTCGGAATCTAGGGAATTTCTAGTTACAAAAGTAGTTTAAAGCCCTCGATGGGCTAGAAATCTGAAGGTTCAAGGTAATAAGGCCATGTGAGCACTATCAGCGCTCTGGGGGAATTTTTTCCTCTCACTTTTCACTTTCCATGGGGAAAGCATCATCATAGAGATGGATCTCACAATCTTGGACACTTCCACTTGTAGATTTGACATGTTCTGAGGCTTGGAATACTCTGTTTCCTTCAAAATTTTCATTTTCCACTTTTATGGAGCCTGTCATCCTCGGAATCTAGGGAATTTCTAGTTACAAAAGTAGTTTAAAGCACTCGATGGGCTAGAAATCTGAAGGTTCAAGGTAATAAGGCCATGTGAGCACTATCAGCGCTCTGGGGGAATTTTTTCCTCTCACTTTTCACTTTCCATGGGGAAAGCATCATCATAGAGATGGATCTCACAATCTTGGACACTTCCACTTGTAGATTTGACATGTTCTGAGGCTTGGAATACTCTGTATCCTCCAAAATGTTCATTTTCCACTTTTATGGAGCCTGTCATCCTCGGAATCTAGGTAATTTCTAGTTACAAAAGTAGTTTAAAGCCCTCGATGGGCTAGAAATCTGAAGGTTCAAGGTAATAAGGCCATGTGAGCACTATCAGCGCTCTGGGGGAATTTTTTCCTCTCACTTTTCACTTTCCATGGGGAAAGCATCATCATAGAGATGGATCTCACAATCTTGGACACTTCCACTTGTAGATTTGACATGTTCTGAGGCTTGGAATACTCTGTATCCTCCAAAATGTTCATTTTCCACTTTTATGGAGCCTGTCATCCTCGGAATCTAGGTAATTTCTAGTTACAAAAGTAGTTTAAAGCCCTCGATGGGCTAGAAATCTGAAGGTTCAAGGTAATAAGGCCATGTGAGCACTATCAGCGCTCTGGGGGAATTTTTTCCTCTCACTTTTCACTTTCCATGGGGAAAGCATCATCATAGAGATGGATCTCACAATCTTGGACACTTCCACTTGTAGATTTGACATGTTCTGAGGCTTGGAATACTCTGTATCCTCCAAAATGTTCATTTTCCACTTTTATGGAGCCTGTCATCCTCGGAATCTAGGTAATTTCTAGTTACAAAAGTAGTTTAGAGCCCTCGATGGGCTAGAAATCTGAAGGTTCAAGGTGATAAGGCCATGTGAGCACTATCAGCGCTCTGAGGGAATTTTTTCCTCTCACTTTTCACTTTCCATGAGGGAAGTATCATCATAGAGATGGATCTCACAATCTTGGACACTTCCACTTGTAGATTTGACATGTTCTGAGGCTTGGAATACTCTGTATCCTCCAAAATGTTCATTTTCCACTTTTATGGAGCCTGTCATCCTCGGAATCTAGGTAATTTCTAGTTACAAAAGTAGTTTAAAGCCCTCGATGGGCTAGAAATCTGAAGGTTCAAGGTGATAAGGCCATGTGAGCACTATCAGCGCTCTGAGGGAATTTTTTCCTCTCACTTTTCACTTTCCATGAGGGAAGTATCATCATAGAGATGGATCTCACAATCTTGGACACTTCCACTTGTAGATTTGACATGTCCTGAGGCTTGGAATACTCTGTATCCTCCAAAATGTTCATTTTCCACTTTTATGGAGCCTGTCATCCACAGAATCTAGGGAATTTCTAGTTACAAAAGTAGTTTAGAGCCCTCGGTGGGCTAGAAATCTGAAGGTTCAAGGTAATAAGGCCATGTGAGCACTATCAGCGCTCTGGGGGAATTTTTTCATCTCACTTTTCACTTTCCATGGGGAAAGCATCATCATAGAGATGGATCTCACAATGTTGGACACTTCCACTTGTAGATTTGACATGTTCTGAGGCTTGGAATACTCTGTATCCTCCAAAATGTTCATTTTCCACTTTTATGGAGCCTGTCATCCTCAGAATCTAGGGAATTTCTAGTTACAAAAGTAGTTTAAAGCCCTCGATGGGCTAGAAATCTGAGCTTTGGAGTTCCTTTGATCATTGTGCATCCCAACCAGCTGAAATTAGTAGTTTCTGTAACGGGATCGCGAGTGGATCATGCTCCCCGGTGGTGTTACCTTCCTCGAAACAGGTTACCGTACCGAGAGAAGCTCTACGAACGATAATAATGGCGGTACCTGCGACTCTGCGGTCGGGAATTTGTCGCGCAGCGAGAATTCGTACGAAGAATGCCCCCCGACAGACTCGTAAATCTTCGTTTGGGCTTCCACGTCTCGCAGCTACGATCCTTGAGCAACGAACGGCCGATCCCGAGGAGGAAGGACTCGCAGGGTAAACTACCTGCGGGTAATTGACCCCTTGAAGGAGGACTGTGCTTTAAAACGAGGCACTGGTCCACTTTTCGTGCACCCATTTTAACAGTGACTCCCATAAATGGAATTTATTTTATTGTACTTTGATTTTTGGAAGAAAAAATTATTTGAAATTGTTAATTATACTGACAACCCTCTAGGAAGTTCTCATTTAGTTAATTCTATTTATAAAAATGTAAATTTGTACGTGTGTGTGAAACACCCCTGCAAGACTTTTCAGTGCAAAGCAAATCACCCTGTATAGCATTTATAGAACATTTAAATTTGAAATAAATAATATTATTAATGCTATATCTCAATTATAGAATTCTCCAAACGAGCCCAAAACCAGCAAAAAAAGAATTTTTTTAATTGCAAATTAAAGTAGTAAAATTGTATTTTGGGTGTTTTTCATCCCCCCTGTGTGAGGACCCCAGATGTTCCAATTTAAAGTAACTAAGATTAATGCTATATCTCAATTACAAAATTCTCCTATCGACCCAAAAACCATTTTTAAACTCGTAATATAAAGTAATAAATTTGTATTTTGATAACTGTCCACCCCCCTCCCCTCTGGTGTGTTCTATAGCGTACCAAATAATTAGCGTGGAGCGTGAAAGCGTTCTTTATCTGTCGAGTAGTAAGGTCGTAGGATGTCGGGTCTCTCGGGATATTTATCACAGAGTCTACGCGCAAAGGGATAACGTCCAGTGGCCCTCGAGGTGCCCCTTCGCGCGGCGGTTTTTCAATCCAGAAAAAGATAGCGCGGCACGGACGGAAAGAGACCGAGAAAGATAAAGGGGAAAGAGACGGCGGAAAAAAGAAGAAAGGAGGGAGGAGAGCGCCGGTAAAAGATAAAAAAAAGAAAAAGAAAGGGAGAAAAGAACAGGGCATATACCTGTTCCACGCGTGAGCGCGCACGGAGCCGGGTCCACGCGCGTCCCTGCGCGCGCACATACTCCCCCCCGTCCACGGTCCCCTCAAGCACGCGGCCTGGCGAGCACGCGTGCGCCCCAGTACACGCACGCACGCGCACGCTTCCTACGGACGGAGCCACAGTGGTGGGGATAGAGTCGACGGATGGGGATCGGCGCGCGCCACGGAACGCTGGTGGGGAGAACGGCTCACGTCTTACACCCCCTGCCCTCTTCCGCGCCACTGATGCGCTGCCCCCAACTTCCCTACCACTTGGGCCCACGTATGCCCCCCTACCCCGCGGTCACAGCCATCCTCGCTGCGTAGCTTCTCTTCTCTTCGCCTCCTCCACCCTCCACCAGCTTCTTACTTCTTACTTCTTCTTCTTCTTCGAGCCTGGGTCTCTCTCGGACCGGGCTCGCTCGATGGACCAGCTTTTCTTTCTCCCGGTAACTGTTCAAATTTCGATCCCCGAGACACGCTCGGTGGGGATGTGGACCCTTCTCACATGCGTCCCAGTGTCTCTCACGCGGGCACCAATTTTTAGGGTGATGTTTCCATACAGGTGGCCACGAAGGGCACTTGTGTTTGTTTCCATTTTTACCAAGCGTACATTTAATCCTGAATATACTTCTCTATTGTAATGCCCAACTTCTAATGCCCATTTAACAACCCCAATTTGTGATCGTTTTATGAATTCACTTGGACGACGAACTAAACAGTTAAAATATATTACCCTGTGATTATTTAAATTTTTCTAACAAAATGGGCCCCAGTCCCAAGCTATCCCCAGCACGACGAAACGAATTTTTCCAAATTTATTCCTTGAGAATGCTTGAGAATCGTGAAAGTTATCGTTTCGATAAGGGGAGATCAGCAAATAGAGGGCGACCGAGCGAAGATGAGAATCTCGGGCGTCGTAGGGCCTCCGGGACGGTCGTTGGTGGGGAGTCGCAAGGGTATGAGGCGCTGCAAGCCGGCAGGGTGGGAGGGAGGGGGAGACGATGGGGGTTTAGGGCCCCGGAGATCGAGTATGGGGCCCCATGGAGGGGATAGGCGCGTGCCCGCCCTGGCTATATAAGGCCTCGAACCCTTCTTTGCAAGGCATTTCGGGAGCCAGGTCCGTACCATCTGCATCGTTAGGGCGCGGAGTTCAGTTTCTCCACGTTTAACCTAACCGCCGGTATATCGTTTCCTCGCGTTCGTCGCGTATACGCTTTGCAAAAGAGGGTCAAGCTGCCACGGCGACCGGTAGCCCGTAGTCGGATACACGGAGGACTCTATTCTCGAAGGTCACCTGGCACGCGCTGCCGTGCACTCCTTCTCTCGTAGTGGGGGGGTGGGGGTGGGGGAATCGGATCAGTGATATGACCTTAGTGGGATCCAAGGAGGGGAACGTATTGCCCATCATGTTGAGCGTACAGCAACAGCATCATCACCATAATCTCCATGGTTCATCGACGACCAGTGCTCAAACTCACCGGGGGAACGTGATCGTCTCCACCAGCAGCATGTCGGCCAACGACATCAAGACGATGCAGCAACACGGTTGCAAACGTTCAAAGATCTACGGGCAGCCGACGGGGCCCTACGGCACGGTCCCCCATCAGCCAGCCTCCGTGGCTAGAAGAAACGCGCGTGAACGTAATCGTGTCAAGCAGGTGAACAATGGATTCGCGACTCTGAGGCAACACATACCCCAAAGCGTGGCGCAGGCACTCGGGGGGAGCACTGCTGGGACTCACGGCGGGTCCAGGGCTGGGAGCAAGAAGCTGTCCAAGGTGGAGACCCTCAGGATGGCCGTGGAGTACATCAGGAGTCTACAGCGTCTCCTGGAGGAGCACGACAGTGGTTCGGACATCGCCAGTGTGTCCTCGCCGACCTCCTCGCCGCCCTCGTCCACCTCCTCCTCGTCCTCGTCCACGTGTGGCTCCGGGAACGGTTTGGGAGTCGAGTCCAGCCATCATTCCCCGGAACTGAGACTCCGTGGGAACGTCAACAACGAGATCAGACATCACAGTCATCTCAGACAGAATCCCAGCCCCACGTTCGTCCCTGCACCCTGCTCGGAGGCGTCCAGCTCACCGACGCCCAGCTTCGTCTCGGAGGGATCCTCAGCAGGCAGCCAGGGCTACGGGGGCACATCGGGCACCCTCTACGCGACACACTCAGACGGTTACGATAATTACGAGCCCATGAGCCCGGAAGACGAGGAACTGTTGGACGTTATCTCCTGGTGGCAACAGAGTCAATGAGCCCGTGAAGGCCTACGCCTTTTCATCCCTGATTTTCAACCAAGGTTAGTGTCACTGGTGATTCACGGTATTATTTATGGTTGAACTGCTCGATTATGGTGTATTTAAAATCGGAGAATGTTAGGTTGTTCGTTTTGTTAGGAGGAACTGTACTATTTCAGAAATTTTGATTTTGACCTTTTTTCAAGATTTGGTTTAGTACATTGTGGTATGTTTTTAGTAGTTTTTACCACTTTTGGTCGTTTTGGTGTCTTTAGTGTGTTTTAGTGGCTGGTCCATTGAGCATTTGTGTTTATTTTTATTAGAAATTTTGAATTAGAATTTTTTTATAAGAGAACGAACAGTAAATTTGTAAAATTCCAGTCTAGGCAATTTTTTACAATTTTTATTAGAAATTGAGAATAATTTTGATTATTTCGGTAGTTCTAGCATTAATAAATTATTTGAGAATTTAGATAGGATTATTTCATTATCTAAACACTATATAGTGTCAAGTCTGTATATTTTCATATTTTCCATTAAATTAGTGTCTTCAATTTCTAATATTTTTTTCTTAATTTTTGCATATATATAGAAGAAAATTTTTTGTAAAAATCTCACTCCAGTAAATTTTTTACAATTTATATATAAAAAATTGTAAATAATTTTCCACTGTTCGAGTTTTCGAAAATTGAGGTTTTCCAGTGTTTTAAGTTTGAAAAATTAATTTTCGTATGGTTTTTCGGTTGTTTAACGTCGAGACTGGTTTTTTTTTTTTTTTTTTAAATGTTTCTCACCTCCCTCGCTCGTCGACCGTAAATTCTGTCCCCGTGAGGTAACATCCGCGTTACCGAGGAAGTTCAAAGAAGTTTCCCCGACCAGATTTGTGACCTTGCCCCATCACAATGGCGCGCGCGACCCCTCGCTGAAACTCCAGCCATTCAAATCGCAGACTCCATTCAAAGGGGCACCGAGTATACATTCGAGAAGCGACGCTTTTGTGCGCGATTTCTTTCACTCTGCACCAACACGCGTCCCCTCTACGTCTGTGCGTTCTTCTACCGTTTTATCATCCCTCCAACACCCCTCGAACTTTCCTTCGATCTTCGCTTCTCTTCAATTTTTACCACCTCGACAGAAACTGTCTCGAAAAATTCTGCTCACTTTTCTAGGAATACAAGTCTTTTTTTTTTTAATTTTATGCACTCGATTATAATCGAACGATCGTTCGATATAGTTCGATTATAATCGTTGTCAGGGGTTCTCTAACTGGTCGATGATTTTTACTTTAGAAATTTGTAAGTTTTCATCTCTCTTGGAGTAGAATTCTTTGTTTTTTGAAAATTGTGATGCATTCGTTTGATTATAGTGACTCTGTCAGTGGTTCTCAAATTGGTCGATGATTTTTACTTTAGAAATTTGTAACTTTTCACCTCTCTTGGAGTAGAATTTTTTTTTTTTGGAAAACAGTGATGCATTTGTTTGATTTGTTTGATAGTGACTCTGTCAGTGGTTCTCAAATTGATTGATAATTTTGCCTTTAGAAACACGTAATTTTTCACTTTTCTAGGAATACAATTCTTTTTTTTTTTTGGAAACGTGATGCATTTGTTTGATTATAGTGACTCTGTCAGTGGTTCTCAAATTGATTGATAATTTTAACTTTCGAAATTCATAACTTTTCACTTTTCTTGGAGTAGAATTCTTTTTTTTTTTTGGAAAACTGTGATGCATTTGTTTGATTATAGTGACTCTGTCAGGGGTTCTCAAATTGGTCGATGATTTTAACTTTCGAAACTCGTAACTTTTCACTTCTCTTGGAGTAGAATTCTTCTTTTTTTTTTGGAAAACTGTGATGCATTTGTTTGATTATATGTGACTCTGTCAGTGGTTCTCAAATTTATCGATAATTTTCACGTTCGATATTCCTAATTTTTCACCTCTTTTGAATTACAATTTTTTTATTTCTAACGAAGAAGGATTCTTGCTCGATTATGATGACTGTCAGTGGTTCTCAAATTGCTTGATACTTTTGATTTCCAAAATTCGTAACTTTTCACCTATCTCAAATTACAATTTTTTTTCTTAACAAAGAAGGATTCTTGTTTGATTATGATATGATGACTGCCAGTGGTTCTCAAATTGCTTGATACTTTTGATTTCCAAAATTCGTAACTTTTCACCTATCTTGAATTGCAATTTTTTGTTTAATGTGATGGATTTTTGCTTGATTAGGATGACTGCCAGTGATTCTCAAATTGCTTGATACTTTTGATTCCCAAAATTCGTAACTTTTCACCTATCTTGAATTGCAATTTTTTGTTTAATGTGATGGATTTTTGCTTGATTATGATGACTGTCAGTGGTTCTCAGATTACCTAATAATTTTGATTTTCAGAAATTCCTCCCTTATCACCTCTCTCAAATGACAATATTTTTTCTTAACAAAGAAGAACTCTTGCTCGATTATGACGACTGTCAGTGGTTCTCAGATTGCTCGATAATTTTGATTTACGTAAATTCGTAACGTTCCCGTGAACATTTCATTTCTCGGTTCGTTACTCCTCTCCCTCGGGCGAGAGACGATTTCCCCTGCTGCGTTTAACCTGAATGCATCTTTCAGGATATTTCAGTCTCCCTTTTGTGGGTTTTTCAACCGGTACTACGCCATTCTTTCGTCTCTGTCGGTGCTCCGCTCCTTCGATTTCTTCTTTTTCGTTTTGTCCCGGCAGAAAGTCCCTTCCAGTAAAACCGCCCTTACCTGAAATCATCCCCTGTATACCTGTACCGTCTCCTACCCGACCTCCACTCCCGATTTCGTACGGGAATAAATTTATAAACTGGTATCCACGCACGTACAAATGGCTGAAATCGTTGGCGATCGTTGAAATCACTCGATAACTAAAAAAAATAAATAAAAAACAATTTGAACTGTTCTTTCAACTATTTTTCTCCTGTTTCAGAAGTCAGTGGGCGAAAGAAAGGACCAAGGAGAGGACAAACAGCGGCTGTTTCCACTAACTGTGATCTAGTCATATCAATAATAGTGTACAGATGTAATTTTGTTTAAAAGCGCGTCGTTTTTGTCTGTAGATTAGCCCTTTGTTTCTCGACACACCTAAACACTTAAGCAACCTTTCCCTACGACGATTGCTGTAAATAAGAGAACCCAAGAATGTCGTATCGACATTAAATCGCGCCCTAGAAGGGCGCAGCATTCCAGAGTGCCTTTTTGCAAAACGATCTTCAAACGTTCGATACCACGATTTTCTTCCCATTTTTAACCGTATCGAACGAAAATTTACAATATTTCATTTTTTTTTTCGTAAAGTCTCGCGACGCTGGAAGAACTGATTGTAAATTTTACGAACGTTATCAACGATTCGGGTATTTATAAATTTTCGACGATTATTTAACCACAACGTGGATTGTAACGACTTGTAAACGATTTGTATTCGAATGGAAATTAAAACGGATAAATTGCATTCATTCGAGGTGGAATAAAATGAATGTTTTTTGTACATATATATTGAAAATTAATTCGTTAAATATATTGGACAACGTTATGAATAATCGAAAGTGTTTCATTTTCCCAAAATCGCAATTTCGAAAAATTTCTATATTATAAAATGAATATTTAAAATTTTTTGTTTTTGATTTGCGTCATTTTTGGGATAAATTGCATTCATTCGAGGTGGAATAAAATGAATGTTTTTTGTACATATATATTGAAAATTAATTCGTTAAATATATTGGACAACGTTATGAATAATCGAAAGTGTTTCATTTTCCCAAAATCACAATTTTTGAAAAATTTCTATATTATAAAATGAATATTTAAAATTTTTTGTTTTTGATTTGCGTCATTTTTGGGATAAATTGCATTCATTCGAGGTGGAATAAAATGAATGTTTTTTGTACATATATATTGAAAATTAATTCGTTAAATATATTGGACAACGTTATGAATAATCGAAAGTGTTTCATTTTCCCAAAATCACAATTTTTGAAAAATTTCTCTATTATAAAATGAATATTTAAAATTTTTTGTTTTCGACTTGGGTCATTTTTAGGATAAATTGCATTGATAAAGTGTTTCATTTTCCCAAACTAACAATTTTGAAAAATTTCTCTATTATAAAATGAATATTTAAAATTTTTTGTTTTCGACTTGTGTCATTTTTAGGATAATTGCATAGCAGATGAGAGTTATTGAGAGTTGGTAGAGGAGAAAACGAACAGTAAATTTATAAATTTGTAAAATTCCAGTCGAGTCAATTTTTTACTATTTCTACTAAAAATTGAGAATAATTTTGATTATTTCGGTAGTTCTAGCATCGATAATTATCTTAGAGTATCTAAACACTATATATGTATGTAGTGTCAAGTCTGCATATTTTCATATTTTCCATTAAATTGGTGTCTTCAATAACATTCTACCCTTAAATTTTTTATTGAGAGTTGGTAGAGGGATGAAATACGAGCCAAATGGAACGAAGAGGCGTTAAACTGACCCAAGATTTATTCCAAGCCAAGATTCAACGAAATTTACGTTACACCTGACTTCGTAGTAGTCAGGTACAAACCGCGATTACTCGAAAAACCGAGGCAGAGTCCTCCAGGACTGTATCATTGTTGAATAGTAACGGTACCCATAGCTGGGCAATGGCGTTTCGATTGTGGAATCGATCCTCGTCTTCAATAAACGAGCTGCAACTAGTGTCATTTCGGTTTCAGGTAGATTCGGGTTACTCGCGTAGCCTAACGGGGCCCCCGATATAGTCTTAGGTATAAGTCCCTTGGACCAGGTATCGTTCGATCGTTTGTTCGATTTTACGAAGAGGAACCGATATCGCGGACAATGGAGGAAACTAAACATTTACGAAACTGATTTATGAATTATTTTCGTTGCTGGTGTCCATGGTAGTATTTAATATTTTTATTTTAAATGGGGTAGGATGTTGAATTTTAGTGATATTGTTAGGTTTTTGGTGTGATTATAGAATTGAGGAATTTTTTTA